TGTGCGCCTTCCCGAGAAACATGACACCCTCCCCCTTTTTGCACACGAATTCTAGCAGATGGGCCAACTGCGCGGGGTTCTGTTCCATGTCCTTGTAAACTTTGCGGTCACGGCCAGGTATGACCAGGKSCCATTCACAAGGCTCGAACGGCATCTCCGAGACRTCYGWCGGTGTGACTTTGACATGTGCCCCCACAGCAGCAGCATCACCCGCCTCCAACCTCGCRTCGTAAACCACAGATTTTTTTTCCCGCAAGTCGTCACCTTTGAAAAGRATGTACATGCGCTCGTCCACTGAGTACAAGTTGTTGCCGACCGCGAAGCTTTTCTTCTGTTGCGGCCTCCTCACCCACTTTCCTGCCATTGCCTTGACAACGGACAGATGGCACAGACTGGTCATGAAGTAGTAGTCGTGCTCCCGGGGGACGAAAGCATCGACYGTCCAGTGCGAAGGGAACAAATGTTGTAGAAGGGCATTCAAACTATCGAAAGCTTGTTGTGTTCATTGTATGATGTCCACAGACTCGCACAAATAAAAAACGGCAGTGTGGCATTTCGTGATCCCAACSGCTTTCTCCAACTCGACGACCTTCATCTGCTTCTCCAGAGGATCGACGTCGAAGGGGGCGATGGATGTCACATCCCCCAAGTCCTGCCACCTTTATGCACCATGCCTTCGGCGAGCGCGACAACCATGCTCTTTAACTTGCTGCCGGTCAGCACGGAAAGGACCTTGTTCTTCCAGTCGATGGACAACTTGTTGTTGATAACCAGTTTTTCCGTCGCCTTGGGGCCGTTGATCGACTTGTCGTCCTTGCAGCCCATGAACGGGGGACAGTCTCTGAACAACGATGAGTCTCCAACGAGTTTCCTGCTTCCGTCCCACAACGGTGCATCCAGTCCCTGACTTTTGAACTGCGCCAAAATCGCCTCTCTTTTCCGCAGGAAGGGATACGAACGTGTCCAGTCGGAGTCGGGCCGATTCTCATACTTGAACTGGTAGTAGTTCCATAACCGCACCAAGATGCGGTCGCACTTCACCAGATGCACTGCCTCTTGYATCCCCAKCTTCCCCTGCTTTGCCAACGCAGAGGAGCYGRTCTGCACCCACACCACCTCGCAGTTGAGAATCTTCTTCAGCAGCCGACATTTCTCATTGTCCGTGAGGGCTTCCATGCTTTTCCAGCAGTGCGGATCCGGCTCGTTGACTTGGACGAACCAGTCGCCGGATTCCTTTTCTTTTTTTCCTTTCTTATGAGGCGCTTCGACGAGGATGTTGTAGACGACCTCCTTTGGCCCGGTCTTGTTATTCTCGATGTGGCTCACACCGGCCTTGACGCTCTTCACCTTCTTCTTCTTCTCGATCCACTTCGCCCCTCCGGGTGCCAGCAGTCTGCCCGTCTCCCATTTCTCAAAAAATTCCATTCCCATTTTCCATGCACTCTCCCCGGCCATCGGAAGCGCGAAATAAGATCAAAGGGCAGCGTTCTGCTTCCTTATGCTCTACTCGGTCTTGTTGTCAGCGAGTGTCCACAAATGATTGTACAGCGTCTTTTGAAGCGCATCTTTACAAAACCGGCGCCAAGACTCCACTTGAGCCTGTTTCCCGCTCGGGTTCCCCATAACAGCTCTGGGGTAACCCTTTTCCTTCCAGCACCAGCGGATGTCCTTCACCGACAGTTTCTGCTGTCTCGGAGGCGCCTTCAGGTCCTTCTTGTTATCCTCGGTGCTGACCAGAAAATACCCTTCAAAGTCCGCGTCGGAGAAGTATACCATTCGCGCAGGCCACCTCTCGAAGTGGTACCTCACCGCCACGTCTGTGCCAAGAAGCGTCCTGGCGACGGCCGCGTTATGCTGGCCGGCAACAGCGTAGTAGTAGTACTGGTCCGCCAGCTCGTCCTTCCACTCCTCGAGCTTCAGACGCTGTGCACGCACCCCCGGCTTCGGTATCTCCAACCCTAACGGCGCCAGCTTCAGTATGGGCAGCTCGTAAGTCTTCGAGGCCTGCGAGTAGGCAGTCGTCATCCCGTCGATGATCAGCTGTGTATGCACCGGATCCAAGGAACGCTGATTGTACCCCGCTTCCCACTCCTCGATGTCGACGACTTGCGACGTGTTAACGGGTATCTCGTGCTTTGTGCGCACGCCGTCTTTCCATTCGAGGAAATATGCCACATCGACGTCGATCGGACCTGTCTGCTGCACATGGACGGACAGGAGCTGAATCTGCGCCGAGGATGGGCGTTTCTAACTCGCAGCGCCCACATGCCCCTCCCCTCCCTTCCTTTTTCCACCTGACGTCTGCGGGGCCTTTGTCTTCTGTTTTTTGATGCAGCCGCCGAGTCTCCACGGGAATCTCCCCTTCTCTTTTGCGACGACTGTTGTTCACCTTCTTCCCCACTGGACAAGACGCCAGCAGGCCTCCCCCCTGGCCCCATTGTGTGACCCCCTGCTGACGTCGAGGGCCGCTCCTGGAGCGGTGTTCTTATCTCAACCCACAGAATGCTCAGCACCCTACGGTCTCCCCCTCTAACCGGCGAACCCCACGTCCTCTCCTCTTCTTCCCCCTCGTTGTCGTCGATGCGACCACGCTCCTCCCCACGGTGGAGTTAGAATGAAGCACCGGAACCCAAATCTCCTCCCTCGGACGGAGCACCGCTTGACTCGAACCCGGTGCACATCTGCACAGGCTGCGACAGCGCCAGGTCGCATGAGATCTGGCAGGGTTCATCAAGGTCCGTCTCTCTTTTCCAACAAGTTGAAGAACTCCCTAGCGGAAACGAGACCTTCAGCCGCGAGGATCTATGTAGAAAGGGGTCCTCAAGGCCCCTGCACCGAATCCCTGGAACAGATCCCACGACAAGGCCGCCCATTTGGAAGCAGTCACGATACCGCCCTTCGAATTATAAACCGCGTGCAGCTTGAAATACATCTTGTCGTGACTCCTAGCCGGTTGACATCCCTCAACCGAACCAAGCACTCTCCGACATCTACTATCTTCCACGAATAGAACCGGACTGCACGACGCTCTCGTGGGGTCGTTCTCATCCCCGCAGCACCAATCAACATACCATTTCGCGCGCATATGATCGGACCACGACTTTTTGGTCGTCGATTCCCTTCCCGAGGTCCCGGTAGGCTGTTCCTCGCTCCTTGATGTAGACATTCTGTCTGCACTAGCCCAAACGAAAGAAACACCGGGAAACACGGAACGCACAAACAATCAGCGCAACAGAGAAGTTCGGATGCCGACGGACTAGCCATGACGCGGCACAGAAAAACAAAATTTCGGGCGTGTAGTAAACACAACACTCTCTAAGCGGAGGTGCGTTGCCGTGGAGCGGAGGGTGAAGACGTCCTCCGGACGTCATCGCCTGCACAGCGCCAGGAAATGTTTTGAACAGAGAACAGCTCTCCGCGCACCCATGTTGACCGCACGTAAGGGGCAGAACAGCGACGGTGTTCGAATGGAGAACCCTGTGCGAAGTCCAGATACTGGCGACCTGTTGTCGGCGAATAAGTGCGCTGCATGGCAGGATGCCCTGACATGAAAAAGGGTCCTTTTGGGGAGTTCCCGCCGGCACAGTGTCGGGCGCCACAGTCCTGAACACAAAACGAAGGGGGAGCGACAACGTCGAAGAACGATCTGGCCAAGACATTGACGAAGTGTGGATACAGGCGGACTTCGGTATAAGCTCAGGATGTCTGGACACATGGAAGGGGCGGTGGAGAAGTGGTCGGAGGCACGTTCTTGAAGAAATACGCCCAACATCTGTAATCATAAGACATCGGGGCTCGAGGACCTCGTATCGAAACGGAAGGAACGACAACGTCGCGGTACAGACCGAGGAAGTTTGGAGGCCGGCGAACTTCACAAATCGCCCATGACAACTGAGAAGCTCGCAAGGAGTGCGGACCGCCCGAGCCAGGAGCACCTGCGCAGGACCTGTCTCTTATACACATCTAGATGTGTATAAGAGACAGGTCCGCAACGATTACCGCCGACTGTTCGGCACACCTTGAAGGTGGTCGGGAAGCCTTTCGGCAGCGCGAGGCCTGTTCCGCTGAGGAGACCGGATTTTTCGAAATCCGGATCTTGGCGGACTTCGAGCGCCGCAGCTATCGAGGAACCCCCTCCAAACAGCACACATGTGTGGCCCGAAGAAGTCCGCCCGCATCCGAACTACGAAATCTGCCCTGATCCCGCTGTGCTGCTAAACTAATGGGGGTTGAGGGAAACCGACCCAGAACGATTGCGTAGATAATGACAGTCACGTGTTGTCGGTGGTGTCGGCAGTTTTGGCATCAGACCCTCACGTATTGTCGATGTGGGGCAAGTGCGGCTGTCCACCGGCACCCGAACTGCCACACTGCACCATCCAGTCTATAGTTGCATTGCACGGACACGGTCCAACAGCCCAACGATGGCGAAGGTCGTCACTGGAGCTCGGGTGCGGCGGGCCACGCGAGTGACTATCGGAAGACGAAGTTCGCCGGGATCTGAACTTTAGCGGGGCTCGATTTGGAAAGGGACGGCATCAGAGATAAACGACCCGTGAGTGAGTGGTTGTTGGACTAAACAAAAACCAGGGATTTTCATGACGAGTGCGCGGCACATCGTGGACTAGCAACTGGAGCCTCTCACACCTGTCAACACTACGTCACATCTGCCATTTTCGGCAGCACACAAGCGTCTCACACTTTCTCGCTTAAACTCAAGGTCTAATTGCCCATATAGACCCGGTGACATTCGGGGGTCCTCGGGGACGGGGTCGTGAACCGAAACCATACAACGCATTCATTGATGATCCGTACAAGCGGATCTGCGGTTCATCGACTGAGGCGCTCTCCGAAAAGACGGACATGTATTTCATCCTGTTGGAAACTCCYAGRAGTGCTAAGGAATTTCCTATACAGTCCCGTGTGTCAGACACTTTCTCTTCCACCTCAAGCCACAAAGAAAAGTTTTGGACCTGCCTTGCGATCGCCAAATCGGGCGACCTATCCACACGTTCGGGCCCTCGCGTGGTGTCGACAAGGTCGCCTCCATGACACACCCTATAGACCACGCGCACATACCAGACGACACACACGTGGCCACGGCCACACGTAGACGTCAAGTCCCGAACTGAAAATTCATGAGGTTCCGCATGCCTGCACGCGCTGCCCACGCACAGGATAAGCAGGCGGACTGCGAATGCACAACAAGGAAACACCCCGATCATTGAAGTTCAGATGCCAGAAGACTTCTCCAGTCGACCAACGACGCAGGACCGAGCACTTCGGCTGCTTAGTTTTTGTCCTCAGAAGTCCGCCCGCATTCGAACTTCAGTGACCTCCCTATTCCTCACCCGAAAGTCGCCGACTGCCCTGTTCTGCTCCCAAGCATAAAACACGCGAATTTGAAGTTCGGATCGAGGCGGACTTCGTCGATGAGCACCCGCAGGCGGTGCTCGAGCATTGGACAGCACAGAGCACTTGGGCTGCAGAGTTTTTGTCCTCAGAAGTCCGCCCGCATCCGAACTTTAGTGACCTTCCTGTTCCTCATCCGAACATCGCCGACTGCCATGCTCTGCTTCCAAGCATAAAACACGCGAAGTTGAAGTTCGGATTCGGGCGGACTTCGTCGCTAAGCACCCGCAGCGAGAGAGCACTACAGTCATCGAAGTTAGGATTAGGACAGACTTCAACAGTAAGCACCCGCAGCTGGTGCTCGAGCATTGGAAACAGTGTAGACAACCACTGAAGATCGGATGTGGGCGGACTTCTCCAGTTGCCTCCGCTGGTGGCGCGCGAACATCGGATGAACGGTAAGCCGAACGCGAAAGTACGGATGCGGGCAGACTTCTTCAGTCGATCGCCTTAGAGAATACGTGGAGTTCGGATTCCGGCGAACTACTTCTTCCACCCGTCATGTCTTGCTCGTGGAGTACCCGGGTTCCATGTCGAACGAGGTTCGTTCGATTTCGAACAAGGTCCGATGTCGAACAAGGTTCGATGTCGGACAAAGTTCGATGTTGACCAAGGTTCGATGTCGACCAGGGTTGGTTCGATATGCAACAAGGCTTAGTGCCGAACAAGGTTCAATGCCGAACAAGGTTCAATGCCGAACAAAAGTTCAACTACAAAGAGATCGATGAGGATTCGGCATGAATGCTTGTTATCGATGTCGAGTGTCGTGGTCTCCGGCCACGTGGTGGCGTTTATGTGCAGACACTAAGGGACATACACACACGATGAAGAGATAGGTTGTTTAATTCTTTCGACGCTATGTTGCTGCTGTCGGTTGTCGGGTTTCATACGACTATTCTCGTTTGGTCGAAAAGTCGAGGATGGTGATGATGCGAAACTGGTTGTGTGTGCCGCTTCGCTCACGTTTAGATCTATTGGACGATTGTCGCGCTCACCGTTCTTGATAACGAACTTGCTTGAAGGGTGCGTGCCGCTTCGATCACGTATAGATCTGAGATGATGACCGTCCATCCACTACCTAGGCTATCTATACATGCACGTGTGTGATCAGCGCAAACAAAGCGGCTTGCACCCGTCGAAAAAGCTCATTATCGGTTAAGGTGAGCTCGACAATCGACCAATAAATCGCTTGGTTGTCACACACAACCTGTTCTCGCATCATCGCCATTCGCGGGTTCTCGAGCAAACAAGTCATGCCCCATGACAAACGTGACAGCCGTGCGCAATCAGTCCACCGAACGACGCGCAATAATCTGTCGATTTTTCATTGGAAGGGTGCGCTGTTCGGTGAATTGATTGCTTGTATGAGTCGACTGTCCACCTATCAACTAAACGGGCAACCGCTTGCGTGATACACGCGGCCGGTATGGCGCCGTGAAGCGTGCGAGGGTGGATCCATGGTTTGGTTGGCCATGGATTCCATTAATGATTCCCTGGAGGAACCGCGTGGGTTCAACGCTGTCTGCCCACACACGATTTGAGACATCTACATATGCTCACACGATTCCACACATTGCAGGAACAAAAAAACAAGCACATACAGACTACGCGACTCCTGACACAAGCGAGCATGCACACACAAGGAATCAAATGCACA